TTTAGGAAGCCTGAAAATTATCATTTAATTTTGTAAATATTTAACCAACCATGGAAATTGTCGTCTGCATCAACAAGACAAGATCATCCTGATTCCAAGAATCGGTGTTAGTAATTAACTGTCTTTGATAAACGAGACTGGTGGGGACCTCAATGGTTATTTGCCCAGGAAAAAATGTTGATACATTTTTAAGATGTGACTGATACATGCGTATAAATTTAATTACGATATCACAGATACCAAGAATGGTATCGAGCTGAGCCGTAAGTAATGTATTTGCCCTTTTTTTGCATTGTGACTGCAGGCTTTGCATCACTCGTAATGTGGTCACACAATAAGAATTTTTGTTTTAATTTCGTGGACATTCACGATGCTAAGTCTCCCATCATAGATAATCAGTTTTTACTAGTCTTCCACCGTATTAGAAAGTATTGCCATCTTACCGAGAATACTTAGAAAGTATTGGACATCTTCTTACGATACTTAGAAAGTATTCGTCGTGGCCATCTTGCCGAGTATTACTTCAGATCGTCGTGGCCACCTGATCAAATGTAACGACAGTGACGGTCCCGCTTGACTTGATCTTCTCACAGCCTGGCGTCTGAACACCGGGTTTCTCAGACACTGACGAATTCTTTGTTAACTCTATTGGCGTTTATCTTCGCGCGAGTGCTCGAGATAATTCTAGCTCTGCAACGAAACGAAGGCCTACGAAAACTTTACCTTTACACTTTACCTTCGCCTCCAATCGAAATCCTGTCAAGTTAGCAGGTAATGTCGCCGATAAAATTGATTTTAATATTAGTTTATATTATGTGCATGAGAAAGTGGGAATATGTCACTAGTCTCTATAGGTGAATATTGAGTGCATATCGCTCTATTTTCGGCTAACATGGGGCCCAAGTCTATAACAACACAGTTTGGCCAGCGGTCCGAAAATCGTTGACATCGATCTTCTTTTCAGAAAATCAAGCTCAACTTCTCAGTGGTGTAATGAATGTTAAGTTGATTGAAACTTGATTAGAACTGATTCTTGCAGTTTATTTTTCTTTTAATTTAGTTTCATTTCACTTCTCGTTCCCTTCATGAATTACTTCATGACATGAAATTCACGTTGTTTGGAGCTAATTCAATTTTTCAAATGTATGCTAGTTTTTTCGTTCCAGTTTTTCCAGTTTTATCTAAGAGATCATTTGAAGTTAATTTTGGACAATCATTTTTTACGATGGTGTTTCTAACGATTGTGACAATTCTATTCTATGTATCGTCACAAGCGGTGGACATTTCTAATCCGCTCTTTGAGGTTAGCCAAATTTTGATGTGTATATATGCTTATTTTCGTCATTGTTTCGTCACAAATGCCGTTCAATATAATGCATAGTATGTACTTCATACCGTCATGGCCATTCATGCGGCATTGGAATTAGAAGCTCAATTCATTTAGCATTTTAGCAAAAACAACTTTACCTATTAAATTTTTCTCATTTTTAGGAAAACTTTTTGGGAGAAAAATTATGATTTCTTCATTTATGTTTCGTTTACTATTTTCTTTTCTCTTTAAAGAGTGGAGGCATGCAGTAACTTCGTCAAGTTGTGTCAATGGCTGAACGCTCATAAATGTAGCTGCAGTACTGAAATGTACCTGGCAGTCCTGAAACGTACCAGTACTGAAACTTCAGGGTGGGTTAGTGCAGAACTCCAAAACACGAGCTTCTGGAGTGAATTTATAAAAAAGAAAACTAATAGACGCTAATCAATTTATGCAAGATGCGTTCAGCATTGTTTAGCAGCCACTGATAGAAAATGATGATGGGTGCGGCATCGGCTACGATTTCCACCGAATTTTGCGATTATGTACTTTATAGTCATGGTCGAAAAATCGGACATTGCTCTCATATTCGATCGATCGGGACCTGTTTTGACTGGAGTATGTTTTCAGTGTGTGAGTTGTTTGTTCGTACGTCTTTTAGAATAAGTTTTTTTCAATTGCTGACCAATAAAATATGACTTTAAATGCACATGTCGCACCTTTCCATTGCAGTCACAACATTGAATTCGAATTCTCGGGTGTCATTGATGTAACCATTTCAGTATGATGATGAAGATGGAATATTTCTCGTCTCGACCCATTAATTTGAATGTTAGATACAAACGATAACATTTTTACGTCAGCAGCTTTCGGTTTCACTGCACAAACAGTGCAGTAAACAGCGGCCAATCTCCATTATCCTCGATCAATTGCCATCGCTTGAGATTCTGACTGTACCGCACAATAAAACACTACCATGAGTTAACTGTGAACTGTTGTAATAACTGTTAGTTGTTAACTGTTGGTAATAACTGTTGGTTGTTAACTGTTGGTAATAACTGTTAGTTGTTAACTGTTGGTAATAACTGTTGGTTGTTAACTGNAGTTGTTAACTGTAAGTTGTTAACTGTTGTAATAACTGTTAGTTCTGATAACTGTTGGCTGATAGCTCCGAGGCTCCCACGGAGGACACCACAGTAATTTTTGATGGATTCCTGACAGCCGGAAGCTGCTATAGTTAGACGAGCGAACATGATGATCAAAACACTGTTATCTTGAATTGCATTTGCTTTCTCATCTAACTGATACTTGGTCATTATATATGTGGTTGTCGGTCATTGTATGTCAATAATTACCGAAAAAGACAACTGATGAGTGCACATTTGAGTGAATTTACAAATTTAAATGCAAGCTTGAAAAATTCATGCATTGAAGATGCGATCAAAATCACAGCTTTCTTATATTATTGTGTTTTTCTTGTTGTGTAGAGCCGTGGAATAACAGCGTCGGACATGACACATGGCAAGTGTGATCGCCATGCAGCCGTGAGAAACTCACGAGGAAGCCAGACAAATGCTTCCTTTGCGGCTCTCTTTGCGCCTCCATAACTCTTATTTTTACGGCCCATTTCTACGATCAAGTTCACCTGAGCGTCATGAACTTTAGAAGCTTATTTTGTTCACTAAATAACTTAATTTTGCCCGCTCAGAAAAAGCCCTGTTTTATGTCTAGCCAGTGAATGAACGCAGGTGATGGGGCTCTAATTTCCAATAGGGGAACAGAAACTAATTGCTGTTAGTTTCATACACCATATTTTTGCAGAAATTTAAGGTACAGCTTGTTGTTGGAATGTTTCACTCGTGACTGGTAGCATTCATCTAAGTAGGAAAGTTGAATGTGGTAAACCCGTTCCAAAATAATAAGTAAATATTTCGCACTGAATGTTCTATCTTCAATATTATAATTAAAATTACAGAGTCTAACAGTAACTACTTAAAATGCTTGAATTTTCACCAAGTTCAATTTCGATTTTGTATAGTTTTTTGCGTGCCGTCCTTAACATTCCGATTGCCAGATTACGACGGCCGCAGGCGGATTTGAAAATGAAACATGAAATGATTACTGCTTATTCATTTGTTAAACAATTCATCTCCGAGACGACTAACAAATAACATTGAACAATGCGTTTTGACCCAATTGAATAAACTCGTATTTAGTTATGTATAAATTAAAAATGAATAATTTATGCACCAATGGAACGAGAAAGATTAATTTTTTTTTCAACCTATTCAAACGTGGAATGGTGTGGTAGCGGCGGCGGAAACGGCCGCTGGAGTTCTCGCGCGCCAGCCAGCCAGGAGGTTCAACATCGAATTTGAGACGCAATGCCCGCTGCACTGTAACTTACGACACACTTTTAGCAAACTCAAGATCGCGGGAAACTTTGTGCTGTATAGTTGCCATCTCACTCACAAGTGACAGTGAAACACAAAGTTGGATGGCTGGTGCGAAGACTCCAGCGGCCGTTTCTGCACGAAAACCCATAAGCGGCCGCGCTTCCGCCCAATTTCGCGTTTGGATAGGTTAAAAAATTCAATCTTTTTGTTTCCATTGGCGTGTAAGTTATTCATTTTAAATGTATACTTGAATAAATACGAATCCTTTAAATTGGGTCCATCATTCAGAACAACCATGTACATTATTTTACATGTCCAATAACATGACCAGTTCAAGTGTGTTTTTTCGGCCGATGATAGGCCGACATATTTGGCTATAATTCGTGTGATCGTGGAGAACAATAACTTGATGTGAACTGAAGACAGGCACAGGCCTGTTATTCTTCCAAAATTTCTCAAATAAAATCAACGCCGCATAAAGCGCGGATATTCGCTTAAATGTTGCCAAGATTCTAACATCAATCTAGACATCGCTTCTTCGTTAAATTCGTCCTTTCGTCATTTTCGCAACTTCGTTATTTTTCTTAACAACTACAGTTTCCGTTAGATTTCTGAGACTTCTAATTTGAGAAATCGATTCATATAATTACTGTGTATTGTTGTACTAATTTTAAAAGGTTTTTATGAGTCGTAAATAAATTATTTTTAATAGTCAAGATCTTTTTTTTAAACAAACCAGTTTTATTGTATGTTTATTTTTAGTGCTTATCTTAGAACGATAATTCTTTTAATACAAATTTGCTACCACGGCGTCAACGTTGCGTCGTAAGTGCGTTACGTGCATCGCATTTGCGTCGCCTAACGTCATGGGAAGACGTTAATTCAGCGAGTAATTGGTCCGTTATAGACACCGCCGCTCGCCCATGACGCAGCTCAGCCGACGTACAAAACCGTGTCTGGAATTTGCTTCCAGACTCTGAACATATCTGCGCCCAGGTTTAAGTTTCCTCTGCTGGTGCATTTTTAGTTTATCTACCGGCTGATTTACGTTTTAGCTATCCGCATATTTACGTTTTATTTACCCGCAGATTTATGCTTCGCCAACAAAGAGATTTATGTTTCATTAGCGCGTAGGACGTACACGTCTTACATTAATCGTAAATAATGTCTCGAATGAATTTTAAATGTTAAGCTGAGAACTAATATTCCCAGGCGATTAAAGTTGCTAATGAAGGTCACCGGTGCCTAGGAAACAGTGTGTAAATAATGCAATAATTTTGTTGTATTTCCATCAGAGGACGAGGGGACTTGTCTGCTGGACTGCCTGGGTGGCCGGCACACCCGCTGGGGGGGACGACTCAGGGGCGACTTCCTCCTCAACGGCAACCTCGTCTCCCCTAACAAAGTCAGTATAAAGAACTCCTAAAAAATCGACTGAAAAATTTCCTTAGTAATTAAATAAAGGCACTGATAAATGTGAGTAACTCAGTGAGCTTTTTTATCGATGCCAGAGCGTTGCATGAACTTGTTTATATTTTGTGAGCGATCCGCGTGTGATAATAAACATTGTACATTGACTGTGTACTCTCTACCTAACGTACGTGTCCTACGTACAGCAGCCAGTTACGTAACTTATCCCACGTGTCCCCAGCTTGCATCTCGCGTGGCCTACGTACAACAAGACGTGAGCTTCTGCCCAGACACGAGCGTCCGACAGACGCTGCTGCTGCACGCCCTGCTCAGGGAGAGCGGCGACCCTGCCAGGGGCAGCAACGTCAAGGCCAGGGTAACTGATTACTGATTAATTGCTAACTAGCTACCAACTAGTTAGTTACTGCATGGTCAGGGTAACTGCTTAGTGATTAGTTGCTAACTAGCGACCAGCTAGTTAGTTACAGCAATATGCTCAGGGTAACAGCTTGTGATTAATGGCTAACTAGCTACCAGTTAGTTACTGCAAGATGGTCAGGGTAACTGCTTAGTGATTAGTTGCTAACCAGCGACCAGTTAGTTACTGCAACATGGTCAGGGTAAGTGCTTAGTGATTAGTTGCTAACTAGCTACCAGTTAGTTACAGCAACATGGTCAGGATAACTGCTTAGTGATTAGTTGCTAACTAGCTACCAGTTAGTTACAGCAACATGGACAGGGTAACTGCTTAGTGATTAGTTGCTAACTAGCGACCAGATAGTTACTGCAACATGGTCAGGGTAACTACTTCGTGGTAATTGTAACTGGTAACAGATTATTTAGTTGGTACCAGTAACATGGTCAGGGTAGCAACTTATTGAAATTTATTGTGTTAGAAATATTCCAAGGTGTAAAATTATGAGAAGCTAACTCTGTTCCCAAAAGTCATGCCATCACCACCTGCCTTCACTGCAAAGTTTCATAAGGTGCTGCTACTGCAGATCAACGCCCTCATCGAGGACCTCGGGCTGGAGCAGGTGAAGCACACGCGCGTCCTGGACCTGACGCTGAGCGAGAAGCGACGTCTCAACGTCGCGTGTCACCTCCTGCTGGAGACGGACGTCGTGTTGCTGGACCAGCCCACCCGCGGCATGGACATCTTCGACACATTCTTCCTCATCGAATACCTTCGCCAGTGGGCCGGCAGAGGCAGGATTGTCGTGAGTATTGCATCATTTGCATGTGACTTCCTATCTAAAATTTTATTGATTGTTTATTTGTAACTACCGGCTTCTTGTTATTTACTCCATCACAGTAATTTGTTCGAGCCAGTAAACCATTCTACTGTAAAGGGATATGAACGAATCAGTAAGGGTTCAAGATTACTACAATGTCTACGAAAAATTTTAATCCTTTTTTATGTTAATTTTGTTTCTTTGCTTCTCTCTCCACCCTGCTTCGACCCTGATCTTTTGTGTCGCCAGATCCTGACGATCCAGCCACCGACGTACGAGATCTTCACGATGATCTCGCGCGTGCTGCTCGTGTCGACGGGCCGCGTCATGTACTTCGGGCGGCGGCGGGAGATGTTGCCGTACTTTGCCTTCATTGAGTACCCTTGTCCTGCTTATAAGAATCCTTCAGATTACTACAGTGAGTCGTAGCCTCATTACTACAGTGAGTCGTAGCCTCATTACTACAGTGAGTCGTAGTCTCATTAAGCCCTCAGATCACTACACTGAGTCTTTCCATCTCAATAATAGGTTCTACAATAGGTTATAAATTGATGGTTCAGCAACAGTATCAATAAAACGCTTATATTAATTGAAAGTAAATATCTAAAAAATGACGCAAAAAGGTGGCAATGTAAAACATGTTTTTCATAAAGACATGAGACCACCTCTGAACTTTATACGCTGTTATTTTGTTCCGCGTGAAACACTAATTTCGTAACACTGAAGACATAACATGACTGCCATACGTTCAGTTGACCTGGTGACGCTGGACGACCTGAGCTCGGAGGCGATGCTGGAGTCGTCACAGCGCGTCGAGATGTTGGCCGACACCTTCAGGAGGAAGCAGGAGGCCCTCAGCGACCCCGGCCCTTCTGCCCCCCTGCCGCCACACATCCGCTCCGCCAACGCCTGCATCACGCTGCTCGCCCTCTGGATGTAGGTTGAAATGTTTGAATTAATCTATGGATGCACTGCTTTCAATACATTTGTTGCAAATTGGTTAGTCAATACATCCATTACCATACTTATATTATCATGAAAGACGTGTTTCAGACGTGCAATGATCTACCAGCTGACAGTGTCATGTGTTTCAGACGAGCAATGATCTACCAGTTCCCCTACAATCTACTACGGTGGCTAAGTCGCTCCTTCGTCGCGGCTCTCATATCCGTGTTCGTGGGACTCGTCTTCTGGGACGTGCGCAGCGCTTCTGTCCAGCAGCAGGTAGCGTCGCTTCGTCACTTGAAGTTCAGGGGCCATACTTTCAAAAGTCGCTAAGTGATCGTAAGTACTTACGCTCTAATTTCTTGTCTATTATTGGTGGATTTTGCTCGAAAGGCCGTCTATGATTGGCTAATGAACTTACGATCTCTTAACTTTTTTTTTTGAAGTATAGGCCCTGGGCACCAAATGTTCATGTGTGGAGGCATTAAGCATTTATTAGCACTTGGGTGCTGGTGGCTAATAAAATGGTTTATACTGGTTAATGGAATGGACATTTTTATATATTTTTTAGTCCCTTATTAAACTTTCTTGGCAATCAAAATTTCAATCAATTCAGAAATAGCATATGATCAATAATTAGTTGCTGGAACAAATCGATAACAGGAACTTTCACATATTTATTTATGATTCGAAACCTTATTCTTGAAGAAGTTTACACTCACGGTCAGCTTGAATATGTGCATAATATTGCTTTATTACTGGGATAAAAGGAAATCAGGATATATATGGTGTGCTTGAACTCGATGATTTCTCCAAAACAGTCACACTCTTGTCATAACCTACGACCAGACGCATAATACTGATGCAGTTGACATAACCTAAGCCAATGCACATAATACTNTAGATGAGTGAATAGTTTCTGCGTCACTACCAAGGCAGATAAGTGAATAGTTTTTTAAATTATTATAAAGTAGATAAGGATAATAACGTGTGAAGACGATAGGGCTCGAACAACACGACCGTCCTTACATAAGCCATCATGTTTCGAGAACAATAATCTAGAGTAACAGCTTACAGAACTCGAGAGATTAATCATGTGACGAACTTCATAAAATACTTGAACTCTCGAGAGCAACTTACATGTCACTCATCTAACACGATCCTTATTGATATATTAGGACAGTATATATCATTAGGGTAGGATATACAGGGTCCTTCAAATAAAATTCCCTGATTTCAACAAGCTTTTGCAAAAATCATACGACACATACAGAACAATTAATTTTATTTGTGAATAGCTTATTTGATGCCATTTTAAATCACTTAGTACACTTTACTTGGTTTTGAAAAATATGTTCGATAAATGATGTCCCCATGCATTGTTAAGACATTCACGTAGTCTTTCACTGAAGTTGCCATAATGGCCCATAGTGGCCGCCGATATGAGAGTGTTCCTCATGCGAAAACGATTAGACTGTGGGTGTCCAACTTTAGACAAACAGGGTCAGCACTAAAAGGCAGGAAGTGGCAGCCACGTCAAGCCATTCCAAGGGAAGTTACACGAAGAGCTATGGGCAACTTCAGGGAAAAACTACGTGAATGTCTTAACAATGGGGGACATCATTTATCGAACACAATTTTCAAAACCAAGTAAAATGTACTAAGTGATGTAAAATGGCATCAAATAAGCTATTCACAAATAAAATTTAATGTTCTGTATGTGTCGTATGATTTCTGCAAAAGCTTATTGAAATCAGGGTGTTTTTTTTTTGAAGGACCCTGTATTATTACTTATTAGGGTAAATAGCATTATGGTTGGATGTAGCACGAAAAAGGCTTCTACCTGTTCTCTACTCGCAGAGAAGTCGCTGCGAGTCACTCAGGTTTTAAAAAACAAATAAACTTCAGGTACATCAGAACTCTACGTGTTGAGGTTTTTCCAATACAATCGAAAATTTGCAATACCACTTACATTATAAATGCAAAACTGGATACAATTTTCCATTATGACACAAAATAAGGCACGAAAAGTCTATGAGAAGGCTGTTGGTAGCCTGTTTGGGGATATGTTACGTAGCTTTTGCGGAAATAAATTGTAAGTTTATCTTTGGATTCATGCTTAATGAGTGACTAAACCAGCACTACTCGCCTGTGTGACTGAAAATTGTTGCTCATGACCTCACGGAGTCGGGCTCACATATCATGCTTCTATAATGTTGCCAAGAGGTGCGATGTGCTCTCAAAATCTTGAGCGTAATGCCAATGATGCACAAGTACCACATTGTTTAGATGTCTGATGCCCTGGCTGCTGCAGGTGCTGTACAGCTTCTTGGCACTGGCGGGGATCTTTCTAGCGTACATCCTCCCAGCGTACTCCATGGCGGGCTTCCTGCCCCAGGACGGTGACACGAAGTGAGTCATGTCCTGTACGAAGTGTGTCATATCCTGCACGAAGTGAGTCATGTCCTACTTATCACTAGTCAATCATCCAACATCCCTCGCAAGAAATTAATCTCATGCTGTGCGTTGGAGTTCATGGTGTGTGTGAACTACCTCAGAAATCGCAGCGTTTAGATACAAGACGTGACAGTAAAAGGAATTATTAACAAACATTATGATATCGTTTTCATTTATCAAATTTACATTCGTTCTCGAAAAAAATGCACTCGTATTAATTTTAGTGTCCGAGAAGTTAATATTGTACCGTTTGCCCCGTAACAGGTTCTACAGCTACGTAGGACATTCGCTCGTCTACCTCTTCGCTATCAACACCTTAGCCATCGCCGTGGCGACGGTGGTGGCATCGCGCCATGTGGCGGCCGCTATTGTGGCGTTCGTCATGACAGTCGCGGCACTGGGGACAGGCTTCACTTTACATCCAGCCGTACGTACCATAGAATCTACGTGGTTTGTGTTGTGTTCATTCCTATTGAGGAAGCGAGCTGTGTTTCCGAGTATCAACGATGAAATGCAAATCACATTATGAAATAAATAATAATAATAATTCACAAGCATTGTAGAAGTCAAGGCTTTCCATTTTTCAGTAATTTACGCGGATTAACCTGTGTTGCCAGTAAGTTTAAATATAACGACGAATGCTTGGTGTTGCAGGAGGTGTCATGGTGGGCGTGGCCCACGCTGTGGTGGTCGCCCTCTAGGTGGCTGCTGCGCGAGCTCACTCATGCTGACCTCGTCCTGGCCAAGGACTTTTCTTGTGATCGCAACCCCGTCATGAAAGACCTGCAAAGTATCATTCAGAGAAAGGTAAATCATCTACATTTGACCCAAAATTATTTTGTAAATAAGTATAAGTTTAGTTCTCACTATTTAGCTGGACAATAGACGAGCAATTCCAATATTAACGTTACGTAGTAAAAATCTCTAATGATCTAGCGTGATTTTAGGGTTTATCGATATGGATTTTTTGTACATGCAGATGCATGAAATACATGTTGCATGAAATAATAATTCCTCCGCTTATATTTCCTAACTAAGCCATAGATTTGAATGTACCATGTCAATGAAACTTTTGTGATTGAGATTTTTTCCTTCAGTGAGTATTTTAGAATATCCCTCAATTATATTTTGGTATTCATTGCGACTGTAATTCTAATTACAGGTCTCGTGTGGTATCGTGAACGGTGCCCAAGCTTTGAATTACCTAGGCTTGGACGATGCTTACCTACCGGGCAAGTATTACCCCGCCTTGCTTATGTTCATCTTCTATGTGGGGTGCCTGCTCGTAGCCATGCTTGGCTTCATCTTCTTGGCGCGTACACCAAGGAAGAAGAAATACCACGTCGAATAAATTTGATGTACATTGTTGATGATAACAACGCTTAACAAATTGCTGCCTTGCATTGAAAAAAAAAATGTTCGACTGTTGGTTAACTGCTAGCAGCATTGCCCACTTCCGTAACTGACCTAAAAAAAGACGTGTAAATGTAACTCTTCAAACGAAATAAGAGAAAGGGGCGAAAAGAAAATATATAGGTATAAACTGGCATCAAAAGTTGATTTGAAATACTATTCGTCTAATTTTGAATATATTTGAGATTTTGCAAATTTATTATAAAAATGTATAGTGCCTACTGGATAGATAATGCTAAAATTCAATGTATGGGTATGTTCGATGCAATAAGTACTTATAATATTTGACAATTGTAAATAAATTGTTATTGATAAATCAAATTATTTTTACCTGTAACGTTAGTCGCTGAAAATGCAGTCATTGTGCAATAATTGTACCGCTCTGCTGGTAAATTTACGTTAACAAATGTAAAACTGAATGAAGAAGAGTTGAGGTGAAATTAAGAAGACTGAAAAATTACTAAGAACACCTTGTTTACTCAAGAATAGATTGTGCAACCCACATGAACGAATGCTAATAAATGGAAGCTAAGGTTGGATTGAAGTGCGGCGATCCATATGTAAATAAATATATCCTGTAGATGTTTCGTTTGAAAATTATTGGGATTAATATTCATTTTTTGAATGCAGTTTATGTTAAAAACACGTTAAATCGATGCGGGAAGGTAAAATTTCGAATATTTGTGATAAACTTCCAGCTCTACCATAAATAGTCCTTTACTTGATGTGTGTCCATTTTTATTGTAAGAGGAATTTTTAGTGTTGCGAATAATGAAAAAAATCGTACATTTTTCCGCAACTGAGATGGATGAATAATAATATTTTATTATCCTCGTCCATCCAGACATTCGGATTCATGCAATGATCCGTGACATTTCAATGATGTTTTATTCGTTCTTTGTCATGTGTGACCTGTGACGCACTGACGCTCAGTCTGTGCCCTGTGTGACAGTGTGTCTGTGTGTGTGTGTGTGTGTCTGTTGCGTGTGATCGAAGGCCTGAACGCCTTTTTTACGCTTTGGACATTACTCACATTAGAATTTAACAAATAGCAAATTCGTTGAGAATCGCCTGAGACGCAGCACTCCAGCGACTCCATCAGTTTACGAGTCTTCTAAGTTCTTCTACCTAGATCTAGATCTCTTCTCCCCTACGAGCAACGACCACCCTGCCCGGCAGCCCGTGATGGTTGTTACCGTCATTTCATTATACTACAGATCTGAGTTTCAGGTCCTGCTTTTCAGTTTCCAATATGCTATGTGTTTGTTGTGTACTGCTTAATTTAATATTCCTCTACAACTCCACACTGCAGTGACTGCACCTGCAAGGCTGGCAGCTGCAGTGAGTGAGATAGACTATAGAATTAGAGTATATGTATTATGCAGGGACCGTGTAGTGGCAAAGCAGAGAGTTTTTTAGACTCTCCCTCACGCCTCAAGTTCATTTTTAACTTTTAACTCCTATAAGTAGACCAGCAAAGTATCATGGAGGCTGGAATCTGGATACCAGCATTATCAGGGTCGCCTGCCCACTATGCAGATTGCAGAGGGTGGATGCAGCGTCGGCAATATATGGATTTTTAAGCCCAAAGCGTCGCCGGCCATTTTAAAGATGCATTGCCGGGTAATTTTTAATGAAAAGCCATTTACGCTGAGTAATGACGAACTATTTACAAGCCACGAACTTATTACAAGGTTGCATGCACGTGTTACCCCAAATAACTAATTTTACCCTAAAAACAGTCCGGTTGTACAGCAAGTGTCAACTGAACAAGTAATAAAGCACTCTGACCGCTCTAATGCGACCGAAACTACGCAATCGAAAAAATGTTGTTTACATTTTTTGCGGGAACTCATCGCAACTGATTTCCGGACAAGCTTCGCTGCATCGTAATCCATCCAACGTAGCGGAAACCTTACTTTTTTCTAAATAGTTGGCTGAAGACTGAGAAATATATTAAATGCAAGAATTTCAATCTAAATGTGTCGGGAAGATCTTCTGAAGGCGAAAATTTTGCCAATAATGCGTCGCCGTAGGTCTTTAAATCTTCGTTCACTCTCTGCACAGTGGTTGCCTGCCAAAGACCACCACTGCCCTGGATGTACACAGTAATGGACCATCATGATTCCTGCCTTCCGGAACATAGCTTTCAACACTTCAAGCTGTCTGTATTTAGGCCGTAGGTGGAACCAGCCCTCGGTCAAACGGCCACTTGTCGAAGGATGATAAATTTTGGAACAGAGTACAGACCTATGCTATCTGAAACCTAACCTCAGATAGTCAGATGCATCATGCAGGGAACTTAAAATTACGTAATTTAACGATGCCCGGAACTCGGAAGTCATATTCGATCCACAGCCTGGTGGTGCACGGCAGGTGGTGGTCAAGGCTGGAAGAGGATAAAGTCGAGTGGTGCACAACTGATTGGTGTATGTCCGGAGACTGCGGCGGAGAGAGATCCAAGGCATTTGATTCAGGGCTTATTGGTGCACAAAATTGGTGGTGCACAGCTGCGCTCCCGCATTATCATACATAAGAAAGTGGTTTAAATATTGAGTATATAAGGAAATTAAAAATTAACTTCTAAAAAATCTCTGGTTTGGTTTGTCACTATGGCAGGCAGCAGTGCTCCAGAGTCCAGCGCAGGCCCAGGCGCCCAGCCCAGAGCCCACCCATGCCCAGCCTCCTGTCCTTGTCCTGGGGCCCAAGGGTTGCTGAAAATGAAGCAAACCCCAGACATTTTGATATTGTAATTTTTGAGCATGTTATAAATTATATAAATAATGAAAACAACATATTTTTATGTTTTATTGTTCATGATATATTATTGATATATTAGTGCATCTAATTGATATAGTATAGTCAGATGGGGTAAGACAGGACCGAAATCACTAACAAGCCCGTAGCATCTATACCAAGAATAACTAAAAAACCCTAAACCTATCACAAGGTGTATATATGCAATGGGCTTCTAAGCTACAACTCTGACATTTTGCATCTAACATAGTTTTCTGTACAGATTAAAAAAAGTGAGCTGGTCCCATCTTACCCCATTGGGGTAAGATGGGACCAGGCATGGGGTAAGACAGGACCAACTGGTTATTCTTATGTTACAAGGTTTTAAAAAACTATTTTTGATAAACTGTAGGGTAATAGAGGACCATTTGTGGGGTAAGACAGGACCATTTGTGGGGTAAGATAGGACCGTTAGTGGGGTAAAACAGGATCATTTAGTGGTCCTGTCTTACCCCATGTCCGGTCCTTTTTTACCCCATTTTATAATACATGTCAGGCAGTGATGGTAGCAGGTAGGAATGTCTAGTATGTCTCAAAAGTTGCTTATTACTTGAGGTTACCTGCCTACATTCACAAACCTGGCCAAAAATTTTTTTGTTATTAGACAGAGCTTATTTCCCAAGCAGGATTAACTATTTTGTGACCCTTCTTTACATAGGTTTTCTTTAAAAATTAGCCAAAAATTCATTATTTGCAGAAGAGGGTTGAAACAAACACTGAAATGACAGGCAATGACTGCTCTAACATATTCTTTTGTCAAATTAAATTCAGTGCAATTAGAATGCACGCCATGGGCTGGTCCTTTCTTACCCCATGAAGGCTGCGATCCTGTCTTACCCCATTTGACTATATCCTTTAATAGTTTCACAAATATTTTTAGTACATTTTTTTGTTCATAACCTAAACCTAACCTATAAGTTATAATCCATGTTGAAATTCTATTGGTAATATCAATTTATCAAATTATCAACAAACCTAGTATTTTGAGATTTTTGACCAATCAATGGACCGTTCCACAGCATAGTGAGAACACTAGCTTAACTGTCCCTTAACATAAAAGCAGGTTGAGAAAAGCTTACTTTTTTCTGAAATATTGTGGCTGTAATATAATATAGATATAATTTCACTAGGTATGAAATCCTGCGGCTCTAATGTCATGTATTTTAGGTTAATTGAAAAAATTGTGTTTTGCACTTTGGAAACAGGTCATTTTATAAAATTTTCAACTTCCACAATGGCACAATCTGCATCGCAGCATCACTCATCACTTTAATGCTCCTGCCAAAATATCCTGCAGAACATAATAACAACATGTTAACCCAAAAAATTTCTTTAAAGATCAGGTAGTTGTGGTCACGTTAGTTGTTAGAGTGGTCAGATATTTGGGATAACACTGTTGTAGGACTCTATTTATCGTGTTGTAGGACTCTATTTATCGTGGTTGGGCCTGAGGGTGTTTGTTGCAAGGGTGTCAAGAAAACAAGGAATTGGTGATGGTCTCCATCTCCCCTACAACCATCCCAAACCACCTTTTTATTAGACTTTTCCTTGTTTTTATTTAACAATTCATTGAACAACACAACAAGAAGAACCAGGTATGTAAATTGAACAGAGAAGAAAAAGAACAAGCGCAAAACCGAGGCATGGGGGGTCTATAATTTCAAATAACGGTATTTTCAAGTTTGCCTGCTCTGCCCAGTCTGAAATGCAAAAAAAAAAAAAAAAAAAATGATTAACATGATAAACCTAAGGAGTGCACTAAATCCATGAAAAATATTTGTTACATTAACTTTAACATGATTAAATTAGTGATGCATATCAAATAGTGAGCAGTCTACTATGATTTCAACACTGAAATTGATACATACTTTTGCTTTAATTTCATACTTTGATTTCACATGACATTGCATCTCAGGAGAGGGGGGTTTGCAGGACCCCTAGTAGGAAATCCTACTTCCTTGCAGTATTGCTGGAATGGGCTTCCCACAACAACATGTGCATGTAACTTTGTAAACAAGTTTGCGGCTCATAAATGGCTTTTCATGGCTGAGATATGGAATTCAGGGCTCGAAGAAATGGAATCATGGCTCAAAGAAATGGAATCACAGCTGGCAAGCGCATAAAACCACAGCTTGAAAAATCCAGTCATGGCTTGCCAAGTAGATATATTCCATGCCTGCATAAACTCATGATAAAGGCAAAGCAGAGAGTATTTTAGACTTTTCTTCAAGTTCATTTTTGATCCCTATAAATAGAAGTTTAGAACAGAAAAGTATCATGGATACAAGCAGCATCAATTCATCATGCACAAAAAATTGGTTTAAATCTCAAGTAAATGAGGAAATTAAAAATTAACTCATTAAAAAAAGTCTGTGGTTTGTCACTAATCTCACTATGCAGTATGCACTACAGCAGTAGCACCACCCAAGCCAATGCATCCATCACAAGACAGTTTTTTGAAATTGCCCCTATTGTCAGACAAAGTCTTTATATGTTTACCATTGAAGAGAAAACTTGTAATGGAATCAATTGAAGAGAGCTCGTTCAGCTGCATCTGAGTGTTGATGCTGACTTGCTGCTGCAGCGTTCTGTTTGCTGGTGTCCATTGAGGTTGTCTGTGTAGTTCTTCCAGACGTATACTTGCCATTAACTTGGGTAATAGTGGCAAAACATGGAGTTTTTCAGACTCTTCTTCAAGTTCAATTTTGAGTCATATAGTAGAGCACTGGTTGGGAAAAGTCCTACTTTTTCTGAAACATTGCGGCTCTTATATCATATAATTTCTGTAGCTTGAAATCTTGCTACTCTAATAATCATGTATTTTGTTAAATTGAAAAATTGCAGTTCACACTTCACAAACATGTTAACCAAAATGTTTGTGTGAAGCAAATCAACCAAAATGTTTTGTTGAAAATTACATAGGTACCTAGTTGTGGTCACATCATGTAAGAGCAGTCAGAATACATTATCACATGATCAGTTGCCACTATAAAAGAATGTAAAGTAAAAATGAATGTTATTGTTGCTGTTTGACTGTTTTTGGGTAAAATAGTTTGCGGCTTGTCAATGGCTCTTCTTGGCTGATGATGGCCAAGATATGGAATTCAAGGCCCAAAGAAATGGAATCACGGTTGGCAAATCCTTAAAACCGCAGCACAAAAAATCCAGTTGCAGCTCACTAAGTAGATGTATTCCATGCCTGGTAGAGCAGTAAAGTATCATGGAAAGCAGCATTATCATACATAAGATATTTGTTTAAATCTTAAGTAAATGAGGAAATTAAAAATGAACTGATTCTAAAAAATCTGGTTTGCCACTATGATTTGGGGTGCATTTCTTATATCCACTTTATATGCATTTGACCTTCAAAAACTTGTGCTGAAATGTATATGCCTAATTTTCATTCACATATCTTATGTTGACCCTGAATAAAAGAGACCTGCTTGTTCACCACCTTGACTACTACAGTGACCTCACATCAGTTGCATGCCATATGCAGATTTTGTGAAGTGAAACAGATGTCACTTCAATTCATAGCAATACAAAATTTCAATTCATGCAAAAATAACATATACAAACAGCCTGTACTTTTTGCCACAAATTGTGTGAGCCCATATACAAAACAATAATATCTCCATCCACTAAATTAACCGTGCTGCTTATTTTTCCATTAAATTTAATATAAATCACTCTGTTTGACATAAACTTTACCACATATTACTTTGCTTGAGCGTTTCACCTTTTGTTTACGGTCATATGCAATGCTAACCTGTTGACAAGGGATGCTCTTATGTGCAACTTGTGAGAAATGATTTGTTTTTATTTTAAATTTCAAGGAGCTTTGAGTTTGTACCTAACAATATAAGTTACAAATTACACATTGGTAATATATATATATCCAGTGTTATTATGTAGGAATAAAGAAGCTATATCATAATGTTTTTTTCCTTCAGAGCTTTATTATGCTAACATCTGATTGCCAAATATCTGAATGCAAAAATGCCAAATCACTTAATCTATGACTCATCTTGCAACTTCTCCATAAAGAGACTATGATCCACATTTTGGAAAAAATGTACTTTCCGTAAATAACTGAAATTACTAGTGTGATTGTAAAATAAAGGGGCATATTGATAATAGAAAATATGTTTGAATAAATGTTGTATCAGACTATAATTGTTAGTTAGAAGTTGAAATTAATATTTTCTAAATACCACGGAAGCTTTTGTTTGTAAAAATGTCCAATCAAGCAGCCATCATTCTGTCTTCATTGATTTCAACAATGTGCAAAGATCGTCCACAAGAGTGTAGATTTGGGAAGATTGACCAAATCAACAGTTCTTCCAAGTTTACTAGTGCAATCAAATTTAAAATTATGATTTTATAGATCAAATCAGAAGATTTGCTGATTTGATTATAGCATTATTATACAACCTGTATTCATTATACATGTCTATTTATAGGACTCTATAAGGAAGGACAACAAAAATTCTCACATTTGCCACTAATCTATGCTTGAAGTCTGCAACTAAAATGTTGGGAGTGTTTACCCTTGTTGTTCCTGCTTCATTTCTGAACACCAACGCCATTCAAATCATTATGTGTGAAGTGTTGCAATTTACATGCAAGACTTGATTGACCAGTAGGCAATAACGCTTAGTGGCAATGTGACAATAAGTAACTGTGATATTTCTGTGGTAACATTAGTTTTCATTCAATTTCTGTGTTTTTGAACATTTTTCAGCCTTAAGCTAGATTCTTGTTCAAGTGGAACTAGGTAGTTACCATCAATTCATAGAAGGAGCTTAAGTTGTCAGTGAGGAAGGTGGAGTTAAAAATGTCTCACAGCATGCATCCACAGACTAAGGTGAGCAGAAGGATTTAATTTATGAGGCATTCCTATGGTTACAAGGTATCATTAACTTCTGATTTTAAAATTATATTGTGCCTGTAGCCAATTGTCTGCAACAAGCAATACCTAGTTCAAAAGATCTGTACCTGATTTCTTAACTACTACCTACTAGTTAAAATGCCATCAGACTATTCACTCACTATTGTAATCTGATTTCAACAGTCTTGTAGCTAATAATGGAGTAAATTACATTGTTATGATGTGTGGTCATAAATCTTTAGCGATTTATAGAAAGACTCCATTGACAGAAAAATCTGTATCTCTTTGTTGATATCATCCAGACCCAAGATGCACAATACTTACAATTAATCGAGTTTGTATGTTTGAATTCAATCAAGTTGAATGTTTGAAATGTAGTATCATTTGGCAGTTGATATACTGTAAATGTATTTATTTTGCTACATGCTAGTGACCTTCATAGGAAATTGGCCTATGTAAGTTTAATCATTTATACATAAAAATTAATTGTGCTAGTTCTTTTATTAGAAAAAATTGCTTATTAATGGCTGCATGACTTAATGAGGGCTGCATTTTCAGAGATACAGAAGAGAAGAGAGCAGCAAATCGTCAGATGAGGAGGAGGATTTTGTATTTGTTTCAGCCAAGGAGAGGAAGAAGCAACGTTTGAAGAAGCTCTTCAAAGGTGTTCATGTGAGTTACAATTTTCCAGCATTGTTAGTTTGGCGTATGTAAGTGATTAAAGAAGACAGAAATGGGAGAACAAAATAGAAGACAGAAATTTATGCTGAACAAGTTGTGGTGAATTAGATTTTAGCTAGAGGTTAGAAATCAATGCTTTTTATGGAATTTGAAGATCGTAAATTGGGTCATTGATGAGGAATAATCTAACTACCAAATACTATATTTTCAGGAAGCTGATGGCAACAAGCATCTTCATGACGACCAAGATGGCAAAGATGAGGAGGAAGAGCCTGGAGAAGAGGAAGATGCTCAAGACCTTGCACGCAAGAACAATATTTCACTCCTGGACCAGCACACAGAGCTGAAAAAGCTAGCAGAGGGTACAAAAAAAAATACATTTTTGCTATTGTCATTGAAAGCAAGAGATTTTATCTAAGCGACAGCAGTATTTTAGCTTTTAAATAGTATGTCAGTAGGTATTAGTGTGGCAACAACTCATTGCCATTATTTTGAATTTTTGTAGGTACTCTGAACCGCGTCAGATTCATCTCATTATTTGCCACATATATAGGTACCTAATGAGCAAAATACACTGCCTGGTTGTCTTGTTGCTACTTTTTTCCAGATGTGAAAATTTTTTCAGGTTTCAGATGTTTTATTTCAATATCGTCATTCATTGCCTATTATGCTTCTTAGATTTCTTGTGTAACTAAATATAATAATTTCAGTGTAAAATTGTGATGAATTGTGTGAGGTTAGCTGAATATATCGTAATTATTACTGTATTCACTTATGAGACTTTATTTACAAGTAGATAACAAAGATGGCTTAATTGAAAGAATGAAATGGGGATAACAAAGATGGCTTAATTGAATGAATGAAATGGGGATAACAAACATGGCTTAATTACAGCACGCAAAGAGTCAGAGATCGAGAAGCTACGACGTGAGGAACAGAAGCTTTTGGAAGCTGTGGCTGAGAAGCGAGCTCTCATGGGCGTGGGGGAGCTGGCGCAGGGTGTACAGTACACGGAGTCTTTGTGCACCTCCTGGCGCCCTCCTGCCAGGGTTATGGCCATGTCAAATGAAAGGCATGAACGTGTGCGACGGAAGTACAAGTAAGTATGTCTCACTTGTGTTGCTTCATAAACAAATAATTGTATTGTACCATATGGTTTCTTGTAGCCATGCTCTTCATGCAACTGATGGTAAATAAAAACTTTATAAGCTTCCTCAAAGTGGGTCTTGATTTCAAGTATTTCTAACACTGCTTCTAGTTCTTCAAACAGTTAGTTAATAATCATAGGTTTATTTTCTAGCATTCACATAGTTTTCACTTTCCTATTATTATTCCTACTCTGAATATTGGAGCCATTCAACATTTCCAAATTTAATTTAAATTTAAATCAAACGATCTGACTATAATCGTGATTCTTATGCAAACTTTGAGTAGCAATTTGCCCGCGCTTAAAACCTGACGGCTCTTCTTATTTCATGAAAACCTATCTCGAAATTCAAACAGAATTGATGCAATTTAGGTTTTAAGAATAGGAAAGAAGTTCAATTAAGTGGAGAAAGTGACGATAATCTTTCAATTGTGCTCACAAGAACACTTTAGAGAGACTCAAAAATTTATAATTTCGTTTTCTCACAGGATTTTGGTGGAAGGCGAAGATGTTCCTCCTCCTCTGAAGTCATTTGCAGATATGAAATTCCCTCCGGCAATCCTTAAAGCGCTGGCAAAAAAGAACATAGAAAAACCTTCCCCTATACAGGTTAGCATCTATTATTCATTGTGTCTTCTTCTATCATCAGAATTTGTGTAAATCATATTCCCTGTTTATTGTCCTAAGGTTTAGTGTATATGTCGCGTTGTGGATTTTTTCTTAGCTTCCATGAGGTTATATTGCTCGCCATCCTCTAAAATGAGTATCTGTGGTTTGTGCTTAATATTTATTGCTCCTCCTTCTTTAAAATGAGTCACTGAGTTTGGTGCTGATGACATATGTGCAGATGCAGGGCATTCCGGCCGTGTTGACGGGTAGAGATATCATTGGTATCGCCTTCACAGGCAGCGGCAAGAGCTTGGTCTTCATCCTGCCGCTGGTGATGTTCTGTCTGGAGCAGGAGACCGCACTACCCTTCCAGGAAGATGAAGGGCCCTATGGTGGGCATTGCTGCGGGATTAGTTCATTGCAAGTTAACAATTGGCAAGATTAGCAACTAATGTACACTTTTTGAATCACAATATACTTGCATACTGAAAAACAACTCCCAACAAGATGCATCAAAATATTCCGTGATTTTAAATTGCAAAACATTTTACAGTAACAGATTGTCAATTCTTTAATCATTACTAGATTATTATTTCCATATTTTCTGGTTAGTTTTCCGTTTGTTGGCTGTATATTACCCACTTTCCATGCCCCATGCTTCTTACCACCGATTGAAAAATATTCAACGACTGTTTCTTTTTACAATTTATGTGGTCATGATGAATCTCTCTATTTTACTAGGATTAGGCAATCCACCAATGCACCTCTCACAGCAAATTATTAACTTCTTAGACGCACAAGCTTTATCATCGAGCCATCTCATGCCCTCAGACCTCATCATTGCTTCATTATTGACTTAGACTTCATCATTGCTTCATTATTGACTCAGACCTCATCTTTGATTCATTATTGACTCATTCCGTTATCATTGACCCAGACCTCATCACTCCGTTATCATTGTCTCAGGCCTGATCATCGTACCGTCCCGTGAGCTGGCCAAGCAGATCGTGGAGAACGTGGAGTACATCGCGCAGTTCCTGGTGGCCGACGGCCTGCCTGAGATTCGTGTGTGTTTGGCTATAGGAGGGGAGCCTGTGCCTGCCGCCCTCAGTGTTATCAGGAGGTAATGATGGTCCTGCTCCTCAGTGTTATCAGGAGGTAATGATGGTCCTGCTGCCCTCAGTGTTATCAGGAGGTAATGATGGTCCTGCTGCCCTCAGTGTTATCAGGAGGTAATGATGGTTCTGCTCCTCAGTGTTATCAGGAGGTAATGATGGTTCTGCTCCTCAGTGTTATCAGGAGGTAATGATGGTTCTGCTGCTCTCAGTGTTATCAGGAGGTAATGATTTTCCAGCTGTCCTCAGTACAAATAACTTTTATATAAGACAAAATGAAGTCACAGTAAAGTCGCCACTGGTCATTGACTTGGCTAGAGCTAGATACTCCGCGTCATCTTAACGCCTTGGTAACGGTTTACTTGGTATTTTACGGTAGTGTTTTCTAGCCAATTCAGGCCTGTCGCTTATTCTAGGCATCTCAGGATTTTAACGGCTGCTGGTGATTTGAACCCACAAATCATTGCTTTAATTTATCCGTTCTCATCCTCCCTGCCACCTCGCTGAGTTCGACAACAATTTTTACACCTATTTTGATGAAACCCACAAATCGCTGCTCTAATTTTGATGCTCTTAACTTTGAGCTCGTAGCCACTGTGCCTATAATTTGTAAGCTATATCTGGAATTCCGCATCTTCGGCTGTTGTTATACAATTAAACATAGTATAATTTTTACTAATCAGCTCGAAAATAAGTTCGAGTTTAGTCAAGTTTAGTGGCCACATGTTTACTATCGCTTGAGCCACTTGATATCTCGCATCGAAAGTCAAGAATAACATCACAAATAAGGTGAAAGGTCTCAATTATCGAAAGTTATTGAAATTAAAATCGTTCATCACCCACTCGGGGGCGGAAGGTGTCAAGTGTCTAGTCTGCTGGTTTAAAAGAAGCAGCTTTAGCATCTCAATGAGACGAAGTGACAAGGAGGGACAGGTGAAGAGCAAAAAAAAATGCAAAGAAAGACGTACAAGAGGTCGTTTACACGAGCCGTCGGCCGCCCGCACTGGAGAGACAGAAGAGAAATGCAAGGAATTCTGCCTATACGATAGCTTAGCCCCACAACTGAGACCCGCTGTCAGACACCGCGAGCTAACTGGTGGGGCGCTCAGGAGCAATGATCCTAGGAACGCCAGATACCATAGGACTTCTGACGAGCTCAGACACGCGTCAAAAGATCCCCCTGATGGAATACGCAGTTAGATTAATCAATATTTATTTTCGGTGCTAAGTTGTTCATTAATGCGTACTTTTGGTTTGCAGGGGAGTTCATGTGATGGTGGCCACCCCAGGCCGTCTCATTGACATGCTCGACAAGAAGATGTTCAGATTAGACGTGTGCAGGTAACCTAGGCGGTGAAACTTCTCTGCCGAGCCAGTCATTACCCACTCTCCATCACCCGCACTGCTGTTCCATTCATGTCATCACCCACACTGCTGTTGTGGTTTTTTTATCTATCACATTCATTTTCCTTCGTTTCATCACCTTGGACTCTCAATTCCTATCCTATTCGCTGCCTCGGCAATTTTCCTTTGAAAACTTAAGGCATGAGCTCTCTTCCTCGTGTCAATTTTTTTCTTCTAAGATTGGATATTTATCGTGAGGTTGGAAGTGATAATAACATTTACTACGATAATGATATGTAAAATTACTAGGATGGGAATTAAATAAAGTTATTTGGAAAAATAATGAAGAGTATATCGATGTTACCGTTGATGATTTATTGTCTGCTGGTGTAAATCGCGTGCAGATATTTAGTGATGGATGAGGCTGACCGCATGATCGACATGGGTTTCGAAGAAGATGTTCGCACCATTTACTCATACTTCAAAGACCAGCGACAAACTCTTCTCTTCTCTGCAACGATGCCTAAGAAAATTCAGAACTTTGCCCGTTCTGCGCTGGTGCGTCCCGTCACTGTGAACGTGGGGCGGGCGGGCGCCGCTGCCATCAATGTCAAACAAGAAGTCGAGTACGTCAAGCAGGTAAGGAGTTTGTGTTGTAGGGGAAGCAAGAGTGTGACTTCACTCAAGTACACAGTTGGTCCAGAAGCATGGTTCCTGAACTACCGCCCCTGCCCTAACAAAATTTACAGTCGCCCCAGCTTCTGGTAATCCTAATCAGGAGCTGCCGCGTCTGTAAATTTTCACTGGGTGTGTCTGTCAGTATAGGTTGCAGAGCCGAGATGCCCATCCCGGTCTACGGCTCTAACGTACCATGCAAACGACCTCTGGTACGCGTGTTTGTTTGACAGTATTTTTCTGTGTCGGTTCACCTGTCCCATATTCGATTATTTTGTTAGCATATCAATTTGTATGGCTTCGTCTCCAAGATGCTAACGCTGAAACGTTGTCACTAAAATAGGAGAGGCTACCAATTTTAGAACTTTCTACTCGCGTCAATGATAAAAGTTTTAATTTATTAGGATTACTCAACGGGGCTGGGTAACCCTAGGCACATTATTTTTCGATTTAAATCATATTTGTGACCTGACCTATACCAAAATTTGCCTCGTATTGTTTGCCAAATGTATTGTTCTTCACGAATTTCCATCCTCTCGCTTCTGATTCATTTCTAATTAATTAAGGCCGATATTACTAACGAAAAACGTCTGTACCTTCAGGAAGCTCGAGTGACGCACATCCTGGCAATGCTGAACAAAACACCGCCTCCTGTGCTCATCTTCGCTGAGAAGAAACAAGACGTCGACCTCATCCAAGAGTACCTGCTGCTTAAGGGAGTCTCGGCCGCAGCCATCCACGGCGGCAAGGACCAGGAGGAACGCTCTGCTGCTATCGAAGCCTTCAAGGTGGTCAAGTATTCCACGTTGTAATTATAAATTACTTGCATGAATCGAGTTGACGAGTTCTGTCGTAAAATTGTACCTACACAAATTCATCTGGCATTTGGTTCACTAAGTACAAATTTCGCATGTCTACTGGCGCCGGATGTTCGTGTAACCGTGCTTCTGCTCAATGTTTCTATCAAAATCAATGATTGTTCTGTAAGCGCTAAAATGATGGTTGTTAACACGCATTTGAAACTTGTCACTTGTTATTTCTCTTCAGAGGTTAGAAAAAGACGTGCTGGTGGCCACCGACGTCGCTTCCAAAGGCTTGGATTTCCCTGGCATTAAACACGTCATCAATTACGATATGCCTGACGACATCGAAAATTATGTGCACAGGATTGGGCGTACCGGCCGGTCGGGAGCTAAAGGCGTTGCCACAACTTTCATCAATAAAACTAACGAAGAAAGCGTCTTGCTCGACCTTAAAGCTCTGCTTATTGAGAGCAAGCAAAAGGTAATTGGAACACATTCGAATGTTAGATCTTATTATATTGTGTTTTCTCCTGGTCAGATATAGAAAATGTATTCTTCAAGGCCTCCTCATTAGTTAATCGATACCTTCAAATTGGTTTTATACGACGTTCACGACAAATAAGATCCTTGTGACCTTACAATTGTTGAATTAATCACATTACAATCGTTATAAACCGAGCTGATTCCATATTAGTTCAATGATTCCTTGGCTGGAATTGCACTGTATTGACTGAAGGAGTTGTATCAGTTCTTCGACTTGCTTTGCAATCGCTACTCGTGTGGGCAATTACAATCTGTTATCCCAGGTTCCTGAGTTCTTATCTCTGCTGGGTGACGGCAATGACTTCTTGGCAGCATTCGACACGAGCACAAACGGCGGGGACGAAGCAGGCTGTTCGTATTGTGGAGGCTTGGGTCACAGGATCACCGCGTGCCCGAGGCTTGAAGCGATGCAAAGCAAACAGGCTGCAGGCATCGGCAGGAAAGATTATTTGGCTAACAATGCTGCAGATTACTAACCACGTGGCAGCTTTACCTTAGCCATGCATCGCTCGAGATTGCATACGATTATAGGACTTATTTGTAAATAAACTGAGGAAAATTACTGTTCCTAGTATAAAGTTTTTTTTCAATATTTTATTGAATTGTGATGGTTATTGAACAAATTTATAAGCCCATCACAACGCGTTTATACTCAGATAAGTGATAACGAGAACATCAATAAGTTGCTTAATACCACATTTAGAATTTGATCCACAGTCTCGTAGTAAAATATCATCAAAGAAGAGTATTAAGAACTTTCTTTTGTCCTGCAAAATAGAAGCACCATCTATTCAGCGCTGTACGAAACTTCTGAAGGTTTCTCTGAATAATTAAAATTATCGATGTTCTTCAACGAGCATCCAAACAAACGAATTCGCATGAGGAGGTATGTGATGAAGGCTGAAGCGAGCACGGTAGATGACTTGCGACACGAGCCCATCACGACGGACTCTTCTCGCTCATACATTCACAGGATGTTTACAATTAATAAATTTAATGGAAGTCAGACATGATTCGCCATTTGCTAGATCTAGAATAGAGCTACAAGCTGGAAGAGACCTGCATCTATCAAGTCAATATCTAAATACATTTAGAAGACGCTAGGGTAAGTTGCAGTCACTCAGATTTGTGGCTTAAAGCGCAAAATCTGCTCGAAGGCGCGATAACCAAATCTCGAGAACACATGACTGAGCACTGCTTCGTCATTATCTTTAGAAAATATGATTAGTTGCATGGCGGATACATGATGACCGTCATTAGTGAACTCATTCGATATTGATCCTTCCACCCTCAAAGAGCTAAAAAAATGTGTGACATAGACAAGTTACAACATGGGAGTGCTAGCTCTTCAAATAAAATAGGTTTTTGCGTCAGTGCTCGCCAATGTCGAGCCACTGAGTTTTTCTTTACTGAACTTCCATTAGTTGTAATAAATTCGAGACTCATAGCCCGCAAACCAATATGAAATAATCTAGGATTCTCTTAGCTATGATCTTGAGAGGCATCAAAACTTCGAACTCCTTTAACGAGAAATTTAACCGTAGCTTCATAGTTAGGAAAAAAATTCGGGCGACACTCTTACGCAATAAAGAATACAATTGCCTTTGGTAGCGGTGATTTGTTCAGAAATTACGTGCGTGTAACCCCGACCGTGATTACCAGGTTTATTTATGAGATGAATTAGAAAAGCCTGAAGGAAGCTCTATAGCGAGGGAATCGAGGAGATAGCGAAACCTCAACTTCATTAAGACTAAGGATTGCATTTAAAAATGGCTAAAGCAGATGTTAAAATTAGTGCCATCAAATCGAATACAATAATTTTCCATCTAAGATTAATAACCGCTTAGAAAAAATCGCACGTGCTTAAAGCAAATAAATTAGTGAAAATTAAACAATTTCTGACGTGAGAAGTAGAAGCGAATTATCGTGAACGCCTCTATCAAGATTTTGAAGTATCATTGGAAGAATCGTCGCATGAAGATACACTTTGACTAAGAGTTCCTCTATGATTTTCCTCTGGCATAAACGAAACATCCGTCACTCGTTCATGTTGATTATCAGTTAAAATATCATTATCAGTCAAACTCGCGTTATCTGCTGAAGGATCACAAATGTTGGACAAGTCTTTAGCAGCCGGCAAACTCCCTTCACCCGATACGAGAGGTGGCACCTCATTGCACGATGCGTCGTTACACGAGCTCGGATTAAGTTTAATTGTGTCAGTATCGGAGCCGAAGTTAGGATTAAGTTTGATTGTGTCGGTGTCTACTGAAGAGCCGGTCTGTGTTATAGCGTCGTGGCGCTGTGAGGCCACCACCGACCCTGACTTGATAGCAATTTGTAGCATCTCCCGTAGTCCCTGAAAACAGAATGTAGCGATGACTCGCGCGAGAGCGTCATGCATTTCATTTTTAAAGTATACTCAAGTATAAACCCTATCTACCTCCTACTTTAATTTAATATACCGTTATCATCGTGGAACAAGTTATAATAACTCGGAAGACTTTCAATGCACCAATAAGTAAAAAAAAATACTTCGGCGCATGGCATTAATAGAAATGAAGCGTTTGGAGAGCACGCCTGTGCTTCTCCAACACAGGCTGACCAGAGTAATCTGCATGAATCAAACAACACAACAACGGGGCAGCTACGGCAAGTAACTACTGAAGAATGACAGTTAACAGTGCAACACACTAGCAGGTAAGCTACGGCAAGTAATTACTGAAATGATAATAGTTAAGAATGCAACATACTAGTGGGGCAGCTGCGGCCAAGTAATTGCTAAATAAAAACAGTTAATAATACAAGGTTGCAGCAAACAGACCCTGTTCTCTCTGGCGAGGCTGGAGAGCTGCTCCTGGTACTCGAAGGATTGGTCTTCGTCGAGCTGGGCCGCACGGCGCATCACACTCACCATTTCGCTCACGCGCTCGATATTGTCACCAAGCTGAAATAACACAATTTTAATTTTATGTATAATTTTATCACATTTCTACAAACAGAAAGTGATTTAAAAATTTTATAATGGAATAGAATTTTAGCCGTCTTATTTCAGAGTTTAGTCGGTGTTGTCAAACCAAAGGAATGTGGTTCACGTTTGGTTTATTGTATCAGTAAGACATCGAGGACTCGACAGAATCGTACGTTAAGCACTCAGAGGACTGAATCAAGAAGACAATCACACACCGTAAGAAATTTCAACAATATAAATATAGTATCAATATATCATACCACATGGTAATTATGATAGCTTTATGGATTCCAAAAATATGCTGCAGAGTACTGCAAAATACACTTAAAGTGGGTGAAAGCAAGAAACGCATCCATCTTCATAAAAAAAAACCGTTAGAGGGTGCATGAACAAGGAACAGATTTAAAGTAAGGCATTTATACGCACTGCACCCTTAATTCTTGTCCCCTTTTTGAAATTTGCTCCCTTCACAAGCAGACGGTTTTGTTATACCTTACTTGATCCCGGAAACGTCGGTCGGTAGTGCGATCTACTAAAAGGCACGACTACCGTATCGCCGTGTAGTGTTGCATCTAGTGTTGTCTCACTGCTGATGCGGCCGTACATATGACAATATCTTAAGAGTCGCCAGTCATAGGTGTATGTTGCTGATGGTCTTATACCGGAGTCGCAGTTCTATCAATGACTCAACAGGTTCTCGAAACCAAGGGCAAATGGCTGTAACAGTCACCCGATATTACCCAGGCAAGGACTGGACTTATAGTAGAGACTCGAATATCCTTTTCACGTTGATTTTAATTAATTAAATAAGCAGTCGTCGCGCACAGGTTGGTCCTCTTAGCCTAAAGCCAATCAAGATGCCCGTCCCTCGACTATGGGAATTTTCAATGAGCAAAGCAGGTTTTTTCAAACGCTAATGAAAAAATTTGTTCTCATAGAATCGACAATTCCTGTACTACACACATAAACGCGCTTGAGCCAACATTCCATATTCTTAACTATCTGAACGCTAGCGCATAACATTTCAATTGTTACTCTAAATGCAAGCAATTTTCTATGGTTCCTTTTAAACTGAGTTGCCCACAAATGAAGAATAGGAGGAAAAAAGGGAAAAGATATATGGGTAAGTGAGATCACCTGACGCTGCAGGGCGGCAGTGTGGGGACATCGTAGAGCGTCAGGGGAGGACGTGAGGAGTTTGGCTACCTGCTCCCTGTACTTGCTCATGATGAGTTCCATGACGGTCTGTTGCTCCTCCAGGGCCATGCGCAGCTCTTTATTTTCCTGCATGTAAATAGACCAGCATTAGGCTCTTTATTTTCCTGCATGTAAATAGACCAGCATTAGGCTCTTTATTCTCCTGCATGTAAATAGACCAACATGAGGATCTTTATTCTCCTGCACGTAAATAGACCAGCATGAGGCTCTTTATTCTCCTGCACGTAAATAGACCAGCATGAGGCTCTTTATTCTCCTGCATGTAGCTCTTTATTCTCCTGCATATAAATAGACCAGCATGAGGCTCTTTATTCTCCTGCATGTAAATAGACCAGCATTAGGCTCTTTATTCTCCTGCATGTAAATAGACCAGCATTAGGCTCTTTACTTTCCTGCGTGGAAATAGACTAACATGAGGCTCTTTATTCATCTGTCTGGAAGCAAACTTATAAATTCAATTTATTTTTTGTGGATACCACAAATGGTAAGCTCTTACATTCGCTGGCAATAAACAGGAAAATGCGACTTACAGCTGATAGGACGCATTTGCAATTCACTAGCTTCACGAAGTATACAAGTGCATATATAGTTTGCTTGCAATAGGCTAAGGCTTACGAGAAACAATTGTGAGGCAGCATCTTGTTCTCTGCAATTAGGACAAGCCTTCAGCCTGTGTTTTGCTGCAGCAATATTTTGATCCATAATACTTGAGAGCTTATTGGCCACATGAACAATAAATGTCCATTTGAAGCTGTTTCAAATATAAATAATTTGGTAAGATATATATTTTAGCAAGAAACCATGAACATGACAAGTTGAAGTGCGTGAAATGCATCGGAGAGACATGGGAACAAAAAATCTGATGTCTCTATTCCCATGCACCCCGCACCTCCTGCAGTTCCCTGATGTATCTGTTATAATACACCCTACACCACACCACACACCTCCTGCAGTTCTCTGATGTATCTCTTACAATACACCCTGCACCGCACCACACACCTCCTGCAGTTCCCTGATGTATCTCTTACAATACACCCTGCACCACACCACACACCTCCTGCAGTTCCCTGATGTATCTGTTACCATACACCCTGCACCACACCACGCACCTCCTGCAGTTCCCTGATGTATCTTATTCTTATCATACACCCTGCACCACACCACGCACCTCCTGCAGTTCCCTGATGTATCTTATTCTTATCATACACCCTGCACCACACCACACACCTCCTGCAGTTCCCTGATGTATCTGTTACCATGCACCCTGCACCACACCACGCACCTCCTGCAGTTCCCTGATGTATCTTATTCTTATCATACACCCTGCACCACACCACGCACCTCCTGCAGTTCCCTGATGTATCTTATTCTTATCATACACCCTGCACCACACCACACACCTCCTGCAGTTCCCTGATGTATCTGTTACCATGCACCCTGCACCACACCACACACCTCCTGCAGTTCCCTGATGTATCTGTTCTCCTGTTGTATGGAGTGTATGAGTTGGCCTCGAGGTCTGTTATTGGCAACTTCGTTCAGCTGGTTCATCTCCTCACAATACTGAAAAAATTCATTTATTTTAACAATGAAATTTTTGCATAAACATTAACAATACATAAATGTTGAAAATCAACATTGAAATTTTACTCAAACTAGGTATATAGCTGATTCAACTAAAATAGTTAGAATCAACATAACATACTTCAGTATATAATACAACCAAAACATAAGTAAGGGTGTTTTGCAAATGTAATGAGAGAAATTAAATCTTAACTGCAAGAAAACTTCTAAATGTGAATATAGATAGCTTTTGAATTATATATAAACCCATAGATTTCAACAAAAATCAGATACATTGACCTATTTGATAGTAGGTAGTTACTTGAAAAATGAAATACATTCGTCACAAATTCTTGAAAAAATTGTCTTATATCAAGAACAATAGGTAATTTTTTAGCTCTTCAACTGACTTACTGATGGTTTAGTATAATATGATTCCTTAATAAATAACTCAAGCTTAAACAAAGCATTGAGGTATGGTACACTATAAAAATTTCATAAAAGCACTTTATTGAGTAAAAATAATTTTGGATCAAATGTATAAAATGTGGCCTAAGAAATATAATTTCCAAATGTCAATCAACCTTTTTCTTGTTTGATAATATCTAATATACGGTAACTCACATATTGTCCATAAATATGCCTAAATAGCTTACCTCTTTCATGCTTTCAACCTGCTTGAACATTCCCTGTGCCTGAGATAACAAATTATCTGTTGAGCTATCATGATCTCGGAGCCTTGTTGCAAGTTTGCGGGCATCGCTAAGAACTTGCTGCAGTACTGACATTGTCACTCCTAATAAGTAATCTGAAAAAAAAAAAACAATTTCAGTGAATTTGGCTCCAAATTCACATAGGTATTTTGATTCAATTAAAACCATTTCAGCTTGCAAATAAGTTTAAAGGAGGTTACAGGAGTTCAGTAGTGTACTTCAGTAGAGAACTCTGACATTTCCATCAAATTTTCCATACCAAAAAAATTTTCGACACTAGTACAACTGAGGTCATGCCAGGCAGCAGAAAAACTAAAATTTATCCAGGAAGTAAAGTAGAATACCAGAATTGAGTTCCATAGGATCTTAAACAAAACTTTGTATTAGATCTGTCAATTAAAACTGAATTGAGTGTTAAGAAAATCTATGGTTTGCCACTACTGTATATTTGCATGATAATGACGGTAATGTGATATCTCTTATACTTTGTTAGTCTACTCATAAGACTTGAAAAGTAAATCTAAAAAAAATTTCTGCTCTGCCACTATGATTCTTGCTAAAGGAGTTTCCTCCCATCTAATGTTTAACCAAAGTGCACACCAACAGGCCGCAAGCTTCCGGATGTTTTGTGAATTTGTTACTTTAGAAACAAAATTTCCTTCAGAAGTAGGAAAATTCCAGTCCAACAGCTTATAGGCTTTATAGTGGCAAATGACAGGATTGGAATTTTCCTCCTTAGTAGAGAAATCTTGTGAAATCCAAAGTGATAAATTTTCAATACATTTGACATCACACAGCCCAATCATTCATTTTTATTGGCAATTAGATAAGAGGTTATTTATTTAGAGGAAGCTTGCATTTCCAAAAATGATGGAAAAGCTCTAGTTGCAGCTTGAAAGGTGGATACTGGTACCTATATTCTATGTCTGGCAAACATACGACTTTATTGCTGACCTTCTCTGCTGATTCCTTTCAGCAGGATTAAAATTTTTCTACTCATTACTAAAATCTTGCAGCTCTAACATGACAAATTTTCAATTCATTTTGAATCTTGCAGCCTGACAAATGCAGTCTCTTTTGTCCGATGTCAATTCACTTGACCTGATAGAGATTGAGGACGAGTCAACATCTGATAGACACGTGATAGATCACGCGATCAAGACCTCAGTAGTGGGCTATCCCTGATAAACCGGCAAAGCTTATAAAAGGTCTAGCAACCTTTAGCAAAGCCACCAGTAGCTGATGAGCACTCCGCGATGTAGCGTGTCGGTAGAGTTCTCCAACCTTATGGTCGATGCTGTAGCTTATACCTCTGTATCGCAACTCTGTATTACCACCCAGTATACAAGATATGTTATCTGGACTTATGTGTCTTACTTTTCCTCACTACCTTAGTGATTAGTCAAAGAACCCGATCCTCAGGTGGAGCTCAATATAATGAGTTCAATGTCTTGAGCGCAACCTCGGACACTTTTGTTAATGATAAGAAATGATGTAATTCATCTAGTGAGAATCTTGCAGTTCCAAAAATGGTAGGAAAGCTCTAATCACTGCTCAGAAGGTGGATGTTTTCTACATTAGCCTATAAGTAAACCAGCAAGTGTTATGGATACCATCATTAACTGACCCAAGCTAATGAACAAAATCTTCATGTTAATCATTAAATCATAAATGAACTGGTTTATAAAAAATTATTGTTTGCCAATATGGCCTATGCAACTGAGACTGACAAACCAGTTGAATTGTCCATCCTGCAGACCTGAGGTCTGAGGACAAGGACCTGAGGTCTGGCATTGAATTGCAGCTGCAACTAGAGATTTCTAACCTTATTCATAGCCATGAGGGACAAATTATCTCATATTTAACTGTTAATTAAAGTGCACTAGTGGGCCCCAAGATTCCAAGTGAATCAAAAATTTGTCATTTTTGAGCTGCCAGATTCCATTCACAAGTAAAAAAAATACCAATATAGCCTGGCATGGAATAGGTATACCGTATCTACCTTACAGGCTGCAACCAGAGCTACAAGGTTCCTGCTAGATAACTAACCTCCTACATAATAATTATATAAGTACACAATAGTTCACAAGATTTAAATGTATATATAAATTTTAAATAGAAATTCCATAGATTGAAGAAAATTCCAATCCATCTGCCTGAGGTCACTGTCACCTCAGGACACCTGACAAAAGCATTTCTCCTCTCTTAATATTCTGGCATTGCAAGAAGTAAGGAAGGGGTGAGATTGAATAACTCAAGTGCTAAAATTTTACACTGGTGCATCAACACCAGAATCGAGTTGTCAAGAAATTATAGAAATAAACAATCTGGAGTTGAAACTTAAGTATACTTTTAAACTTATTTTGTGCATCCAAAGTAATTTATACTATTTAATATAGTTTGATTTTTAGAAAAAAGTCTTAGCTACCATCAAACGGGGTAATAAGGGATGGTTTTGAGTGTTTTTCATTAATAACTTCTTACCATGAAACACTTTATAAACAAGTTTAAGCTCATTTTATAGCTCTTTGCAAGGGTTATTGTATGACATCTCCAAAAAATTCCCTATGCCATTTGTAAGGAGGTCCCAAATTACCCCTGGGAATGGCATGTCCATGGTTTCTGGGACACCTGAAATAAAACTTAATTTTAAATCATTTCAAGCATATAGAATGTGCTCAATCAATATACTAACAGTGCTCTGAAGTCTTCCTCATCCTTTGTAGATGATGTAGATGTAGAATAAATGATGTTTTCTGTGATTTTTATCTGTTTTCCTTTATTATGATATTACCAATAATACATTACTGTATTATTGACATGAATCATGTCAATGCTGAGCATAAGGGCAGGAGTTGTAGGACCGGACATTTGCTATCGTGCCCCCCTCATTTGGCTGTGTGCACTCACGCCAAGCAGTGTGATGTCCCTGTTTCTGACAGTGACTTTAGGGTGTTAGCTTCCACCTCCGGTGCTTCAGATTTGTGTATTCTAGAATCATTGTACATTTTCAAACTTAGGCCCAGTTTAAATTCAGCTATTAGCTCCTATCCCCTTGGAATTGTGAATAGATAGGTTTTTTGAGCCCTATTGCTTGCAAATTAAGGTTTTTAATTGTGTTCTGTGCTTTCAATTATACTAATTTGTGACTTTATATGTAAATTCTAGATTCTATGAACTGACGATGGAGCTGGACTCCAAAACGTTTTCTATAGAGATATTAATTTTTGTGGACTTTTCTTTGCTTTTAAATTTTTACTGACGTTATAGTACTACTGTATCCATGGACATGCCATTCAGCATTGACAACGACCTTGTAAACTGCAAGCTTCATATCAGCAGCCATAATGCATTTCTTCTGTATCTGTAAGCTTACAGGATGGCTTGTAATTTTTCACCATTTCAATTGGGTCAAGTGAATTCACTATAACAAAAAAAAAATAATAATAAGATCATAAAAACATTTGAAACAGAAAGGAATATTTTAGTGACAACCATCAAATTTTTTGGAGAAATAAATCATAGTTTAGGTTAATTACTATTTGATCTATGTTGCCTGCTGCAAAATTCTATCTTTGACATTCTATGCACAATTTTATGATGACCAACGATGCATTAATTTTTCCTTAAGTGAAATTTTGCTGAGCATGGTAAATGTAATCAAAATTCTTCATTGTCAATTTATTTTTTGTTAAATGGATCCTTTGCTAACCAAGGATCTACTGTAAATGCGTTTTTAGAGTTATCCCTTATTACACCAGGGGGTGTCCCTTATTACCCCGTCTTGCGGAAATGGCCACCATTTTTGGGAGGATGAGCTACACAAATTCTGCCAGTCACATTTTCAAATCAACACCTGTGTGCAACTTTTATGCAAGTGAAATTTTTTAATACAGTGGATATTTTATTTACTACAGATCTTAGCAGAGGTACTGTTCTAAAATTTTACGCAAAGAGGTACCTAGTAAATGTACCATCAAACGTGATAAAAAGGGATGGATTTGAGCGTTTTTTATTAATAACTTCTTACCATGAAACATTTCAGAAACAAGTTTAGGCTCATTTTATAGCTCTTTGCGAGGGCTATCCAATGGCATCTTCAAAAAAATTCCATATGCTATTCGTAAGGTGCCAGACACAAAATAAAACTGACCCGATTTACACCTCAACGCGGGTTAATCCGGGACACTTGCAATAAAAGTTAATTTTAAAACGTTTGAAGCATGCAGTGTGTACTCATCCATTACTAACAGTACTTTGAAGTCCTTCTCTTTCATTGTAGATGATGTAGATGTAAAATAAATGACATTTTTTGTGATTTTTAATTGTTTTTCCTTTATTGATATTATATTACCATATTCATTAATTACCATATTACTAATGTGATATTACTGTATCCATGGACATGCCATTGAGCATTGACAACAACCTTGTCCACTGCAAGCTTCATATCAGCAGCCATGTAGCATTTCTTCTGTATCTGTAAGCTCACAGGATGGTTTGTAATTTCGCACAATTTTAATTGAGTCAAGTGATTTCACTATAACAAAAAAGATCGTGAAAAACATACCTGAAACAGAAAATAATGTTTTAGTAACAACCATCATATGTTTTGGAGAAGTATATCATAGTTTAGGCAATTACTTTTCATTCCATGATGCCCGGTGCACAATTCTATATATAGCATTCTATGTACAATTTTGTGACAACCATTGATTCACTAATTTTTCGATAAGTGAATTTTTTTCCGCTGAGCAAGGTAAATGTAATCAAAATTCTTTGTTGTTAATCAACTTTTTTGTTAACTGGAACCTTTGCTAACTGAGGTTCTACTGTAAATGCATTTTTAAGGGTGTCCCTAATTACCCTGGGGGGTGTCCCGAGTAGCCCCGCCATGCAGAAATGGCTGCCATTTTTTTTAATGAGACAGGCAAATTCCATCAATTGCGTTTTCAAGCCAACACCTGGGTGCAACTTTTATGTAAGTAAAATTTTTCAATACGGTGAATATTTTTTTTGCTCCAGACCTTGGCAGAGGTACTTTTCCAAAATCGCACTTTTCACACTTTTTTTCAGCGATTTTTTAGAGATAGTAAA